CCCCCCAGACCCTTTTCCCCCTCGCCCCCCAGGCTCCTCCCCCCCCACCTTCCGATCGATCTCCTCCTGGGAGCGGCTCTCCAGGTTCCTCTGCACTTGGCTGGGGCTCTGCGTGGGCAGCACGCTGAAATCCTCATCGTCGCCCTGCAGAGGATCGGGATGGTGACGACACACAGAATGGGGGGCAGTGACCGACCCACCCCCCACACCTCAGAACCGGGCCCACGGTACCTGGGTGAGGCCGGAGCCTCTGCCGCGCTTCCTCTGGGACATCTCTGAAGGGAAGGCAGTGCCAGCTCAGCTCAGGCGGCCATCAGCCGCTCCCTATCCTCTCCCTCAGCCCCCAGCCCCCGCTCGGTGCCTCCGGGAGCCGTTAAAACGGCCATTAAGCCTCCGCGCCCGGGAGATGCCGCCCCGCCATTACCCACCGCCCTCAGCCCGCTCCTCTCAGCGCGCATGCGCCAGAGCAGCACCGCCCCCTGATTGGCCCAGCCCCTCGTAGTCCCGCCTTCTCCAACCGATCACGCCCCCACGAGGCACTTCCTCGGGTTGTGATTGGTCAAGCAGCCCCGTGGCCACGCTTCCAACGCCGCGTGCCGGCCGCGCGGCCTCGCGCCTGCGGCCCATCGAAAAAGAGCGGGAAAATCGCCCGCCCAAAATTACCTCAGGGAACAAAATGGCGGCCGGGAGCCGCCCCGCATGGAAAGGGAAAATAAATACGCTCGGCCTCAAGAAAGCAACGCTCAAACAATCAGTCAGAAATATAGAAAGAAAGCGAAAAAATGGTATGAAGGGAAATATTCTTGTGACAAGTGTGTGTAGTGATGGGGTCAATGGAAAGAGCGAGTGGTTGTTTGCCGCTTGTAAAATGCATTAAAATTGTGTATTAGGAGAGGATAAAAATGAGGCTTAAATTAAAAAAAAAAAAAAAAGTAGCCATTGGGATTGAGATGAGATCTAAACGGGATGGCAGCAATTCCCTCCTAAAAGAGGGATTCTGGGGGCCTTCATCCCAACCCCATTTGGAGACAACAGTTTGTGTGGGGAGTTGGAAAAAAGAAATAGAAAATGCTTGGGAAGTTCAAATAGGGCCTGAATGCGAACCTTTTTCTGCTTAATAAAGCATTAAAGCGTCTTCAAGCACTTTGAAGCCTTAAAGTGCCTCCAGCCCCAATTGCAGGCCTGCGTTTGTTCCCACCCAGGGATCTCTGAAGGACAAAATTTCCTCTTTTTGCCTCTTTTTTACCCCAAATCCCCCCCCCATCCCTTCTCCCTAATGAACGCGTTAAAGCTCTTACGGAAATAAATACATTTTTTAAAAAAATTAAGCAAATAAAGGGAAAAATAAATAAGGAAGCGGCCGCAGGTTTTATTTTCCGGGCGTTCTGTTTTTATTTCTTTTTTTTTTTGCAGGTCCTGGCCCCTCTCCAGGCTGCAGCCTGCGGACAAACCCAGCTTGTCTCTGTGAATGCGGCGTCTGTGAGATGGAGAAAACGGAAAGAAAAAAAAAAAAAAGGAGAAAAAAAAAAAAGAGAGGAAGGTGAGCTGCTGTGGGGATGGGTGAGGAGGGAAGGCAGCAAAGGAGGAGGCATGGAGGAGCCGGGCTGCGCCTGGGCTTGGTACGCCGTGCTGCCCTTGCTCCTGCCCGCCCCAGCTCTGCCCCTCAGCCCGGAGGTGAGCACAGGTTGTTAATTTGTTAATTACTGGGAGCGGCCGAGCTGCGGGAGGGGTTGTGTTGATGCTGCCCTCGCTCACAGCTGCCGGTGAGGAGCTTTAGTGTGAAGGCCACCATCATCTCCCGCTATGCTTCCACCTGCGTGTGCAGCGCCGTGCACAACCCCAATGCCGAGCCGCGCCGCGCCGCCTTCGAGCTGGAGCTGCCACCTGCCGCCTTCATCACCAACCTCACCGTGTAAGGAGGAGGGGCTGCGTGCTGACATGGGGTGCTTTGGGGTGAGGAGAGGCAGCCGTGCACAGCTTGAATTGCTGTTTTCCACCAGGATGGTCGGTGGCGAGGCGCACCAGGCTGAGGTGATGGAGAAGCGCCGGGCTCGGGAGCTGTACGAAGCGGCCCGCCAGCAGGGCAGGACGGCTGCCCATGTTGGCACCAAGTGAGCACTGGGAAGGGAGGACAGGATGGGATGGGATGGGATGGGATGGGATACATCCACACGGGAGGGCAGCTGTAACGCTTCCCTCCTGCCACACAGAGAGAAGGAGACCCAACGCTTCCACGTGACGGCCTCAGTGGCAGCCGGCGGGGACGCATCCTTTGAGCTGTGCTACGAGGAGCTGCTGCGGCGCCGCTTGGGCACCTACCGCTACGCCCTGCGCCTCCATCCCTACCGCCTCGTACCCGAGCTCTGCGTGGAGCTGAGTGTCACCGAGCGGGTCGGCATCGCTGAGCTCCGCGTGCTGCCTCTGCTTGGAGATACAGCCGTGACGACAGCGGGCCCCTCCGCCTCGGCGACGCCGTCCATCCGGGTGGAGAAGGGCACGCACTGCGCCCGCGTCGCCTTCAAACCCACCCCGCAGGAACGGGCGGCGCTCGGTGACTTCGTGCTGGAGTACGACGTGGCGCGGCGTGACGCTGCGGGGGACGTGGAGGTGCGCTGCGCATGGATGGGGGCAGCGGGGGGTGGCTGAGAGCCCGTCCTCCACCCTCCCGTTTCTCCTCTAGCTGTACGACGGACACTTTGTCCACTTCTTCGCACCCGCTGGGCTGTCCCCCATCCCAAAGGACGTCGTCTTCGTAATCGACGTCAGCGGCTCCATGTCGGGCACCAAGATGAAGCAGGTAGCGCTCAGACCCCCCGCAGACCCCATGTCTTGCCGCGTCCCTGCTTTTACTCTGCCCGTACCTGCAGACCAAGGCGGCCATGCGCTCCATCCTGCACGACCTGCGTCCCCACGACCGCTTCAACATCGTCACCTTCGCCGAGGCCGCCTGTGTGTGGCGAGAGGGCGGCTCCGTCCCGGCCTCTGCATCCTCCATCCGCGGTGCCACGCAGTACATTGACACCCTCCACGCCGACGGCTGTGAGTCCCACGTGTTGTTCTCCATGCGCACGGTGTGTCGCCGTGGTTTCCCTCTTCTGGCCGCGTCATCACAGCTCCGCCTGCCGTTCCCGCAGGGACCGACATCAACCGCGCACTGCAGGTAGCAGCTGCTCTCCTTCACCGCCCGGCCGAGGAGCCCCGCGTCGCCCTACTGCTCCTGCTGACAGACGGCGAGCCCACCGCAGGGGTGACCGACGTCCCGCGCATCCTCTCCAACACCCGCCGTGCCCTCTCCCCCTCAGCCGCTCTCCTTTTCGGCCTGGCTTTTGGGGCCGATGCTGACTTTGCCCTTCTGAGCCGCCTCGCCGCCGCCAGCGGGGGAACAGCGCAGCACATCCCCGAGGATGCCGACGCCGCCTTCCATCTCACTGATGTTTTCAGGGAGATCGACAGCCCGCTCCTGCGGGACGTGGAGCTCACCTACCCCGGCGCAGCCGCGCGGCACATCGCCCCAAAGCTGTTCCCCGGTTATTTCCAAGGCTCTGAGCTGGTGGTGGCTGGGAAGCTGGAACCGGGCACGGAGCGGCTCCGTATCCGAGCATCTGGACGAGGCGATGAGGGCGAGCTCCACGCCGACACCGAGGTGGTGGCAAACGTCACCGAGCTGCCACCCGGCTGTCCCCAGCGCCCTGCAGCACTGCTCGGCGCCTTCGTCCGCCGGCTGTGGGCCTTTGTCACCATCCAGGAGCTGCTGCGGGCTCAGCTGGCCACCAACAGCACGGCTGCACGCCGCCGGCTCGCTGCTGAGGCCACCGAGCTGTCCCTGCTCTACCACTTTGTCACCCCCTTCACCTCCCTCGTGGTGGTGACGCCAGGTGACCAAGGACTCACGTCCCCCCCCAGCTTCACCACCAACGGCCCCGCAGGGACAGCGGACGGAGCTGTCACAGCTGCTGCCACAGCACGTGGAGAACACAGGGACCACACGGTGATGGAGAACACGGTGCCACCCACCGCCCAGCTGCAGCCCTCCCCACCCCAGCTCCAGGTGCCCCCGGTGCCGTGGGGGGGTCCCAGCCTGCCCCGTGGCCCCGGGAACGCGGTGCTGCTGCAGACAGACGAGGCCGAGCTGCTGGCGCCCAGGGTGGGGGGTGAGGAATTCGTGGAGTCCCTGGACCCCCCCGTCTATGTCATCCTCACACCCACAGGTGGGCTCTAAACCCTACACTTCCCCCTTTTTTGTGGCCTAACGCCTCCCTCCCCCCCATTCTCACTTCTATCTTATCTTCCCAGGGCCCCCGGGTGATGGCGTTGCCTCAGGTAACGGCCCCCCCCTCCCCCAGCCCCAAAATGTGGGAAGGGGGCACACACTGCAGCACCCCTTCCAATTAATTACCTGTTTCTCTTCCAGATCTTACCCACGATGTTGATGCGGGTGAGTTGAGGGACGCTGCATAAATGGGAGGGGGCACAGCACCCATAGCAGGCTCTGCAGCCCCCCCACGCATCTCCCCATTTTCTCTAGCGTCCTCGAGCCCCACATTCTTCACCTTCTCAGCCTCAGGTAAGGGGACAGAGGATTAGGGAGGGCGGTACCAAAGGGTCCCAAATGACCCCTCCGACCCCCCCCCAGTGGACGGGGACCCCCACTTTGTGGCCCGCGTTCAGGGCTCGCCGTACCCCCTCTGCTTCACCCTCGATGGTCGCCCCGGGGACACCCTGCAGCTGCTGACTGACCCGTCGCTCGGTGAGGACCCCCAAAAACCTGCGGGGAGCCCCCGACGCCCCCTAAACAGAGGAGGGCTCACCCCGTGTCCCCCCTCCCAACCTGTTTTATAGGACTAACGGCCCACGGGCACCTGGTGAGCGCCCCCTCCTGGCCGAGCGCCCCGTTACGTCCCCGCACCTTTCTCAACGCTGTCACCGTTTCGGGGCACGCCGCCGTCGTCACCGTCACCCTGCACGGGATCCGCGTGAGCGGGGAGGGCCCCCCCGTTTCCCTGCCTTTCTCCCATCCCACCCAACTCCACCTCCCCCCCGTGACGCTGGTTTTGGGGCCGGGGGGCCGCCTGCGCCTCCGATGGGGTCCCCGCTTGGAACTCCTGGTGCTGCGTCACCGCTACAGCCGGCCCGGCGCCCTGCAGCGCGACCACCTCGGCTTCTACGTCACTGACAGCAGCCGCTTGTCCCCGAGGGCCGGGGGGGCTGTTGGGTGAGTGCCGTCCTCACCCCCACGGGGTGGCTTTGTCAGCTGCACAGGGGGCTGCGACGTGTCCCCTTTCCTTTAGGCTGCCTGCGGGGCATCCGGCTGTTCCCTCTGGGGACGACGGCTCGGCTGTCCCTGGGTGCGGTGACAGTGACGGCCACGCTGGTGACAAAGGAGCTGCAGGTGGCACAGGGGGCAGCCCGGCCTGGCCGCTGCTGGTTGGTCCCGCGTTCCAAAGTGCCGGTGCTGCTGGGGGGGCCCTATGGGGATTTCCTGTCCCCCTCTTTGCTGCCAGCCTGACATCGTCCCTGCTGTCCCCACGGATGCGGGGCTCTACAGGGCCCAGCTCCAGAACTGGGCCATAAAGGGGCACTGCAGCCACTGCTGGACCCCATGGGGGGGGGGACCTCATGGCCACCGGTGTCCCCACGGGCGCTGGGGTGACCCCAATGCCACCACCAACTCTATGGACGTGTGACATGAGATGCCACCAACCTCACGGACTTGTGGGGGCCACCATCGTCCCCAGGAACTCGTAGAGACCCCACAGCCACCACCAGCCCTATAGATGGGGGGGACCCCACAGCTACCAATAACCTCACGCCTCTGGGACACGTGGGAACCCTAAAGCCACCGTCAACTTATGGAAACCAGCTGACCTGCCCCACCAAACCCCTCCAGGAAACAGGGGACCCCCCTGTAGCCCCCCCAAATAGCCACGAGACCCCAGCCTGCTTCGACGCCCCAACGCCACGTGTATTTTTATTGCCAAAAGCTGCTCTTTAACCATTTCACACAAAACCAATAAAACCTCCCTCTTCAGAACTGCATGGCCGCCATCAACGTGTCCGAAAGCTTGGTGGCGATTTTTTCTGCCGGGGGAAAAGTGGGGAGAAATACGGTCACAAATGGGGGTGCTTGTGTTGGGGGGGGGGGGGGGGGGAAATGAGGAAAAGGGTCGACTCACAAAAATGATGGAGTGTTTTTCTGCTCACCTGCTCTTTTCTGCAGCTTCTTCCTCCGTTTCCCAGCGGCTGCCAGCCCCTGGCCCTGCAGCAGCGGGGGGAGAGCGGCCACCTCCTCCAAACGTGGGGCGCGGGCTGGGGGCTCTTCCTCTTCCCCGCCTCCCCCCGCCTTCGCCCGCGCCTTCAGCTCCACGGTCACCGCGCCGAGCTGCGGAGGAGACCCCATAAAAAACAAAATCTCCAAACCCTAAAAACCCCCCAAATTCGCCCCAATTCTTTTATTCCCGTACTTCCAGGTCGTCCTCCTGCTCGCGGCCGTCCTCCATGGTCTCCTCCTCTTCCTCGGGGACACACGAGGACATCTCAATACCCATCACCACCTCCGGGACCACTACAACAGCACCAGCTCAGCACAGTGGAGGTGAGCGGGGGCCCAATTTCGGGGCTGACAAACCCCAAATTCTCACCCGCCAGCGCCTCGGCGTCGCCCCTCTCCAGCGCCTCAAGGTCGAGCGCCGGCCCCATGGATGCAAGGATCTGCGCCTCCAGCTGCACCCCGACCTCGTCGCGCTTGGGGGGCTGTGTGTAGTAAGAGATCTTCCCGCTGCGGGATTTTGGGGTGAATTGGGGGGTTTTAGGGTACAGGGTTCCCTTCCCCCCCCCCCCCAACACACTGCTCACCTGGTCCAATCGTGCAGCAAAGCCACAGCGGCGGCGTGGGGGTCCGGGAGCCCCCCTGGACGGAGGCGGCCCTGCCGGCGGGCCAGGTGGGACAGGAACTGCCGGGGGTCGGGGCAGGGGGGCACCCCATAGAGCTGGCTCAGCTGGGGGGGAAAGAGGGAACAGATCACGGTCACCCCACTGTCACAGCGACGGGGACCTCCCTGTCCCCACGGCAATGGGGCCGAGCCCCACGGATACCATCCAACTCCACAGCGATGGGATGGAGATCCTCCCCAAACCTTCCTAAACTCCACCAACACCCCCGTGGTCCCCAGCGGTGGGACTGAACGCCCCCCCACCCCCAAACAGCCCCCCCGTGACACCCCTAAGCCCCACAGCAGTGCGGCTGACAACCCCCAGCCACCTCCAAACCCCACAGCAAAATGGGACTGAGACCCCCTCAGCCACACCAAGCTCTCCCAGACACCCCCCCCCCCCCCCCCCCAAAATAGGGCTGAACCCACCTGCTCGGGGGGGCAGCGCCGCAGGATGGCAGCAGCGGGGGTCAGGGGGTCCCGCAGGCGCTGTGGGGCCAAAGCCCCCCGGAGTGGGGCAGCAGCAGTGGGGGCTCCTGTCTCCATGACGACACCGGGGCAATCCAACAGCTGGATGTGGCGGTCCAGCTGCACCGTCTGCAGGCACCTGGGAGGGGGAGGGGGGGGGAAGGAGATTAGATTGACCCCCTCCCCTGCCCCCCACCTCGGGGGAGAGTTGGAGGGGTGCTTCTGTCAGCCTCCCCCCTTAGGGAGACCGAGCTTACCTGGTGACCCCCGGCACTGCGCCCACCACGCAAACCCGGCTCCGCTTGAGGCTGTTGATGAGGCTGCTCTTACCCACATTGGGGTACCCTGGGGGGGTGAAGTGGGGGTCGAGGGGGGGTTAGGGGTCAAAGGGGCAACTGGGGGGAGTCAAGGGGGGGGATTGGGGGTCAAAGAGCTGGGGAATTGGGAGTCGGTATGGAATCGGGGGTCAAAGGAAGGGGGAATTGGGTGTCAGAGGGGGCGCTGGGGGCAAAAGGATTGGAGGAAACTGGGTGTCAAAGGGGTGGGGGATTGGGGGTCAGAGGGGAAGTTGGGGGTCAACAGAAAGGAGAATTGGGGGTGGGGGTGAAATTGGGGTCAAAGAAATGGAGAATTGGGGGTCAGTGCGGAACTGCAGGCTGGGGGGAGTCGAAGGGGTGTGGAATGGGGGGGGTCGAAAGAGTGGAGAATGGGGGGGTGAGGGGAAACCGAGAGTGGAAGAGGGGGGAAACCGGGGGGTCAGAGGGGGAGGAACGGGGGGGTCAGAGGGATCCCCAAACGCTGGGGGGGGGGTCCTAAAGCCCCGCTCACCCACGACCCCCACAGTGATGGCCGTCTTCACCTCCTGCGAGCGGCTGTAGTTGGCCAGCACCCGCAGCAGGCAGTCGGCCCCAACACAGCCGCTGCCAGCCAGCACCTCCTCTGGGGCCGCCGTCACCGGAACCCGGCTCTGCTTCTGCATGGGGACACGGGGTGACAATGGGACACGGGGGGACAGGGGGACACCAGGTGAGATGGGGACATGGGGTGACAGTGGGGCGCTGGGGGCACAGAGACACCGGGTGACATGGGGACACCACTGGGTGACATGGGGACACCACCAAGTCAAAACGGGACGCCAGGTAATGAAGGGATGACAGTGGGAGAACAGCAGGAGACGAGGTGACAACAGTAGGTGGCAATGGGTGACAGGAAGGCACTGTTGGGTGACACAGGGACAGCGGGTGACGAATGGATATCAGGCAACAAGAGAACATGGAGCGACAAGTTGACACCAGGTGACAACACTGGGTGATAAACAGACACCAAGCAACAAGGGAAGAGTGGGTGACAACAGGACACTGCTGGGTGACATTGGGTGGCCATAAGATGCCAGGTGACGGAAGAACGAGCGACAAAGGGAGAGCGGGTGACAAGAGGACAGCACCAGGTGACAGCGGGTGACGCCAGGTGACGAAGGGACACCGCTGGGTGACACAGGGTGACAAGGGGACATTAAAGGACACCGGGTGACACCCCCAGCTCCCCCCCACCAATGGCAGCTCCCCACCAGGTTGCGGCTCTGCTGCTGCGTCGACGCCTTGAAGGCCACGGTAGGGAACTCGGCACGGAGGAACTTCAGCCACGCGGCCACCACGTCCCGCGGCACCAGGTCTGGGGGAGGGGACAGGGGGTGACAAAACGGCTCCGCGCCACACGGGGGTCCTGCGCGCCCCCCCCCCCGCTCCGTACCGATCTTATTGAGCACCAGCACCAGGCGCTGCCGGCTCCCAGCTCTGCGCACGGCCGCTTCCAGCTGCGGGCTGCGACAGCCCTGCGGGTCCCGGGCATCCAACACCTCCAGCACCACATCAGCGGCCTCCAACACCTCCCCCCCAAAAAAAACCCAACAAAAACCGTAAGGGCAACCCCCCAAAAATCACTTTTTTGTTTTTAACCCCAAAACCCCGCGCTCACCTTACGCAGCTCCCGCCCGTACTGCCGCAGCGCCGCCTCGCCCTGCGCGTCCCCGCGGCTCGACGCCGCCTCCTTCTAAAAGTATCGCGACATATCGAATCGAGGGGGGAGGGGAGGGAGAGGGAGAGGAGCTGGGGGGAAACGGCCCCCGACTCACTTTGTGCTCGAAATCCCTCTGCCGCCGCAGAGCGTCCTCCTGCAGCCCCCCCAGGCTGCGCCGCTGCCCCACCGCCGACTCCCGCGCCGCCTCCCGCCGCCGCTGCGCCTCAGCCGCCTGCACGGACGGGGGCCGAAGGGGGGAGAAATGCTTCGCTTTGAGGTCTTTCACCCCAAAACTCATTTTCCTTTTTTCCCCTCTCGTGTGCGCCTGCGTTCCAGCGTTACCCTCGTCTGCCTCTTCTCGTTCTGCTGTTCCACGTGGGCGGCGAAGCGGCTCAACTGCGGCACCCCCGGGTCCTTCTTCCCCGCCGCCTTCACGGCTTTGCCCTGCAAGGTGGGAGGGGCCCCGTTTGGGAGGGGGGCAACCCCAGTTTGGGGGGCCAATGTGGGGGGAAACGACCGGTTTTGGGGGAAACTGGACCCAAGTGGGGAGCGATCTGCACGGGTTAAGCGTGGAACTCCCGGCTCTGGGAAGGGGATGATTCCCAGCTGAGGATAATGAGCCACCTTTCAGGAGGAAGCGGGCCAGTTTTATTGGGGATGGCCCCAGTGTTGCGGGGAACGATCCCAGTTTGAGGAGGAGGAGGAGGGGAGCGATGAGAGGGAAAAAAGGCTCCGTCCGGGCCACACCGAACCAGTTTAAGGGGAAGAACGTTCCCGTTTTGGGGGAAAAGCGCCCCATCCCGGGGTGCTGCGGCCCCGCTCTCACCTGCAGCCGCCTCCCGCGGGCCGCCTCCCTCCGTCGCCCTGCGGGGAGCGGCAGTGTGACGGGCAGAACCCCCCCCACGCCCTCACCGCCGGCCCCCAGGACGCACGGGATCGGGTCATGGCTGAGCCCACGCCGCTCTGCTCACTTCCGCCTCGCTGCTTCGTCACTTCCGGCGCGACGGCCGCAAGCCAGGTCCCCTTATGACGCCCCCCTGACGGCGTCGCGCTCGTGACGCCATCAAACTGCGACTCGCCGCGCACAAGATGG